TGGGAAGAGCTTAGGAAAATGTCGAGGAACAAGTAAAAACTGAGTGAAATTCACTCAGTTGAGTGAATTCAGGGAGTGAAAATTGTTGCATCTCTAGTGGACCTATACAGAGCAAGTTTGTTGATGTTGCTTTAATGGTGGTTATAAGGTTATTTTAATTTAATATTTATATATTTATTTTATTTTAAAGCTTTGGGGAATGCCTCCCATCACCTGTGTTCCTTGGGTCACGAATAGACTTTACTGGGATATATGTAAGGCAGAGGCTGCTGAGAGAAGCTTTGTCTTTAATTAGACTGGTGGGTATCACTGGGGTGGAGGGGAAGAGATGAGTGAGCTTTTGAGCCTGAATAAATGTCAGATTGTATTTTATCAGAATTACAGTTAGGAATCAGGGATTCACTGAGTTTCCATTTGGCTGTGGGCTGTCTGGGGCCTTTTTGCATCTTCCATCTCTTAGCTGCAGTTATGGAAGAGCTGCATCTACCACTTTACAGATGTAAAGCACAGCTCTTCAGGGGAAGGAAGGGTAAATGACCCAGGTAAAATGAGCCAGGCTGGAGTCAGTAAAACTACCCAGAGTGCCAGCAAGTGATACCTGTGTCCTGAGTTTAATATATTCCCTTCCCAATGGGCATGCCCAGGAGGATTAGTGAGAGATGCTTTAACCTAAAGCTACTAGGATCAGCAGTGCTTTTTTTTTCTCCCCTCTCAAAAGTGGTTTGCTTTGACTAAAATAACTAAATGCAGACATGTTAAGCTTAATATATACGTATGTGTGGGTACCTGAGAAAGCATCCCATTAGGTAACCCTGTAACTTTCTCCTGGGGAGATGCTGAGAATATCACCTTTGCTGCCAGTCAGGACCAAGCCAGGCTTGTTAGCAGCTTGTAAGTGACAGCCCTACTTTGCTTTGTGGGTATTTTAAGTGATGAGGGTAGCAGAGCTCCAGGGAGAGGTGATAACGTCTGTGCTGGTTTTCTTCTTGAAAGGGGGGTGGCGGAGGAGGAGGAGATAGGACTAATTGCATACCTTCCAATTCCAGTTACTTCATTACAGAATAATCATTGGAGCAGCCCTGCAATCTGCTCTGATAGCAGATAAGTGGCATGGCTCAAAGCACTTCAATCTAAACAAAACTTAAGTGCTTTTTCCTTTTTCCCTGGAGTGAAACTGTAATTTCGTTATGTGAATGTTAGCCAGGACAAAGTTGTTTTTGCAGCTGTCATGATGATTCTCTGGGCTTTGTATTAGAGGTATGTCCCCAGTGTATGTAGCAAAAATATCCTAAAATACTGCATTCCTTTACCTGGAAGCTTCAGTTGAAGACTCTCCAAATGTTTGCCAGGTGAAGATCTGTTTAACTTTGACGTTAGATGTCTCAGAGGGTTTAGATATAAACCAGTGAAGGTTTGGATTATATTCCTTTCCATAGCAATACATGTTAATTAGCTTCTCTGTCTGCATTAAGCCCTGAAATAGTTGAGTGAAAGAGCCTGAGTGCATCTCTGCTGCTTCAGAATATGAGTCCCTGTGGTGAGGGTGGTCGCATTGAAGCATTGCCTCATTTTGTTCTCTGGAGTAGAAATGCTGTCAAATGTAACTCGTGATGCAAAAGAGAATTATCAGGCAGAGCTTGGGAGAGAGATTTTGCCTTTCTTTGAAATGGGGTAAAAGTAAATTTGTACTCCAGGCTGAACTCTGGAAAATCAAAAGATCCCAGAATGTTTAGGTTGGGAGAGACCTTCAAGTCCATCTCGCTCCAACCCCGTCCCATGGGCAGGGGCACCTTCCACTATCCCAGGTTGCTCCAAGCCCCATCCAGCCTGGCTTTGGACACTTCCAGGAATGGGGCAGCCATGGCTTCTCTGGAAAACCTGTGCCAGTATCTCATAAAATACCTGGAACTGCTGTTGATGATGATGATTTTAAGGTACCAATTTAAGGCCACAAGAGCACCCCAGACAAGTGCCTGGACTTTGCACAATGCAATACCGTCCAAACCTTAAACTCTCTTCAGGCTCATTTTTTCTGAACTGCCACAGAACCATTAAATCTGATCTGTTCCTAAAAAGACAGCTGACTGTGCAATCTGAGCCACATAAAATTCTTTGTCTCTGCTTTGCACTTGAATGGAAAAGTAGTTTGTTTTCCCATTAAATTGACCTCAACTGTCGCTGCCCCAAAGGGGGTCTGTTCTTGCAGGCTCTACTTGGCCGGGAGGCAGAGTGTGCTTGGCTCTCCCTGTGTTTTGCTGCAAGCCTGCTAACTCACTCCAGGACAACGGGAGGATGATAATGCACTAAGGCAGGTATTTGTTAGCAGGTTAAATGTTTTGGGAAAGAAAATGTAAAATACTTGCCCAGTTAAAAGTTAGTAGTTTTGTAAGTTCATGCTTGGTTGTGTTGGTTTTAACTTGGCTGATGGGGTTGATTGTGTAGATGCAACTGCAGCATTAAGCTCTGGGAATAAAGTGAGGTGGTGTGAATTTCAAAGGAACAAAGAGTACAAGGCCCCCTTAATTTAGTCTTACATTTTTAGGGTGGCTGACAGAGGGAAAGGCCCGAACACACTTTGCAAACCAACCTGTGCATTATATACTGTAGTGGATCCATACCTTGATAAGAACAGTGTGACTTATTTAATGAGATGAACTACATCAGCTTTTTTGTTAGAAGAGGTATTTATTTATTCATATTGGGGAAAAGTACATTTTTCTTGAGAGTCTGTAGCTGATCAGACTCCTAAATGCCTTTCTAGCCACTGATGTTGCAGGGACAGGAGGCTGGCAGGCTGGATTGGGTATTGCTTAAATAAAAATGAGGTTTAAACCTGGCAGGGCTGCCTGACCCCCACCTGCTGGGGACGTTGACTCACAGTGCTCTTTGCTCATGGTTTCTTTGGGAGAATGTTTTAGGATGTGAGTCTCATGTGGGAACACACGTGCCACAGTGCCTTTTAAAGAGGTTGGGTGCCTTGACTTTGTAGGGAAAAGAAGCCAAAAAATGGGCTGTGATATCTTTCATGCTGGCCAAGCTGCTCCAAGGGTAATCCAGGTGGAAAGGGACTCACCTATGGAGAGGAGGTTCAGCTGGGTAGTCAGGAAGCATCAGCAAAGCACAGCTCCTTCCTACGAGTGGGCAAAGTTCCTCCACCTGTAAACACCATCACACACACCCAGCCTTGGCTCTTCTCTGGCTTCTGTTTGCCTTTTAATGGTTGTAGAGTGCCTTGGTGCTTCCTTCCTGTCTTCCTGGTGTTTGGCTCAGGGGTTTGATAGCCCCTCAGATGTTGGAATGAGCACATGGGAGCAGGTGGGTACTTGGTGAATGTCTGTGGGATTACACTGGTGTTTTTATGACCTGGGATGGCTGCACTGAGACGGCTCATGTGATTCCATATCCAGTACTTAGTTACCATCCATCTTCACTGCAGAAAATGAAGGCAAATTGTTACTGGAGACTTTTCTAGGGAAAAAAATTTTAATGAGCACCTGAAGGGCCACAATCCTATGGATTGTGTGTGGTGTCATGGAGCTATGAGCAGGTTTTCCTTATTGCAGAAGCTGGATTGATTCCTCGGGGCTGGATAACATCTGATTTTTATATGAGGGAGGGGAAAAAGCTATCTGACTTTAATCTGAATTTACTAGGTAGTTAATAAGAAAGACCTCTGCCCTGAGTGACTTGCTCAGCCTATGTTGTGTTGCAGGAGCTCCATGGAGATGAAATCTGCTGGCTTTATTTTGCTCTGAAATCCATTTAGCTTAAACTCTCTTCCAGAATCTCATCCTCTCCCTGGTACTTCAGACTTGTGACTGGGTAACCTGCTGAGTGTTAAGGGTTGTGACAAAGCCTGGGTGCTTTGGGTGGCTGAGAGGTGACACTGGCACATGGAACTCATCCTTCAGGTGACAGGCAAAGGCACATTTCTGAAAGCTGTGTGCTCCTGCCTGTCTCATCCCTTTATAATCTGCAATTTATATTTAAAAGGAAAGGGATTTAAATTGTTTTCTGTGCAGCTGTGGTCTGTGGGAGCAGTTGGTTGTTGTGGTGTTTGGCCCTGAAGCCGCCTTGGTGGCCGATTGCGTAAGCCAGCAGGGAGAGAGCGAAGGTATTCGCAGCAGTCACTTGGAAACTGGGGTAATTCAAATCTCAATCAAGCTCAGGCTCAAACAGGTTGTGGAATTTATTTATACAACACCAGTGGGGTGTGTGACACTGCAGAGCCAAACAAACAGCGGTTCCCAGCCCCAAGGCTTGTGTTGGGTATTAGATAACGAGGGATGGGGTAATTACAGCCAGGGACATGGGTGGAGGGGTTAGAAGTGGGTGAGGGCTACATCCGTGTGGAGAACATGAAATGTGCCTCATTAATGGCAGTGTTAAGAAACTGTGGGTGCAGCTGGGGTTATGGGAAGGCTGGAGGTCAGCCCTGCAGAAGGAAGTGTTGACTGAGTTATTGGAGACGCGTGGATTAATAAGGGAAAGCGGAAGGAGGCAAAATGAAACCGGCCAAGCGTACGGGGAGGGGCTGGGTTGCGCAGAAGCTGACGTACAACAGCAGTGGCTTTCCAGGGGCTTGAGGAATCTGGGTGTTAGAACAGCCACTGGGAATCCACACCCAGGCCCCAAAACGCGTGTGCTTGATGGGAAGAGAGGAACAGGTGAAAAAAAGGGTCCACTGTGGCTTCCAGGGGCTTTGTGGTCCTTTCTCTGCTGTCTGTGTTCCCTGGGCTCTCATGGTGCCCGAGTGGCTTCTGCCGAGCCACCTGTAGTTTTGCTGGGATGTTTTTGGGGTGTACTTGATCAGTGAGCACTGAAGACCTTGAATTGGTGGTTTTCCACATCAGCAGTGCATGGGTTGCTGTTCCCAACGTGTTCCCATGTGCCCTTTGCTCTGGGAAAACGGGATCTTTCAGGTTTTAGGAGCTGGGTAGTGGCTGTTAACACTGTTACTGTGTCACTAATTTCCTTTTTCCTTCCCTTTTGCTCTTCAGAAATGCCATTCTCGTGAGTGTGCAAGGAACCTACAGAACTGTAATGTCTAACCCTACATGGAATAACAACTCTTGGAAGGTACCACCCTTTTTTAACTACATGGCTTTGTTACAGGTTGGGTTAATGATGTACTGATCTTTGCTTCAAAGCTTGAAATTGAAGAACTGTGTCTTATGTAATGCTGTCCCTTTGAAAGGGCTGACCGTGCTGTGATCCTCCAGTCTCTGATTTCCAGAAAAACTGGGTGCAGCCTAACACTTGGCTCAGGGTGCTGAGGGGCCATCTCTGTTTCTCTGTGGATGATGTCTTCAGGCAGCTCTGGTGTTGCCTTAGGAACAGATGGTGGTTTCTATTCAGAGAGCTGAACTAAGCTTTCTTCTTTTGGTGGCCATCCTTGGAAACATATTGCCCTTCTTTTTAGTGATGCATGATGGTTTGCCTATTTCTTCAATTCATTGACCTTCTGGATTGTCTTTCTTGAGGCTTCTAGGCATATTTATGAAGAATATTGTGAGGAAGTGCAGTTACACTTTAACATTTAGATTGAAATGTCTTGGCTGTTCGTGCTGCATTAACCAGCTCTCAGGCGTTGGCTTGTTCTGCTGTCTGATCCCGCAGTGATGCCATAATACTGAATTTTGGACTGCCCTGTGCATTGCCATGGCAACAGACTGATGTCACACGCTCAAGGACATGACTTCAGTGCACGATCATGCAGAGGCACAATCAGATTTGTGGAGGAGAAAGCTGACTAATGCACATCTCAAAAGCAAACAAGGGGAATGCAGGTTACAGCTGACCGGCCAAGGTGCCTCAGTGTGAAAATTCCCTACTTAGAGGAGGGGCTGATCCTGTCTCTAAGACAGGAACAGTTGTCTTGCTGAGCTTCTCTTCATCATGGAGAAGCAGATGACTTGCAGGTCTCCTATATCTTTAAAACAGGTGGTGGAAGAGATCATCGTTTCTGGGGTGGGGAAATGCTCTCTGGTTTCAGAGCTTTGGAAGGGTACTGCTTTCTTTTAATTTTAAAGAACCTCTCAGTGGTCTTGTAAGCACCCTGAGAACACTTTGACTTGCTTAATGTTGTTCAAACAGTTTAATTGGTTTTCCAAAGCTTTTATTTTATCCATAACATTGGAAGGTGAAAGGGGAACTCCGCATCTGCATTATGGTCACATTTTCCTATATCCTATTAGCAGATTCCAAGATTGTTTAATGTGATCTCCACCCATTTCATTTGGCTGCAACCTTTGCTCCCATGAAAACAAGGCTGATTGTTCTGAATTGCTGTGTGTATGTGCTTTGGCACGGCATGAAGGTACCTATAATAACACAACCATTGTCTGGAAAAAAAGGCAGTTTGCAGTAATAACTACAAATAAAAGGGTGCAGTCCAGGGGTAAGACAGATAATGGTCGTTTTCCCACCCGTTGCACAGGGCAGATTCTCAAACATGGTCACCCCTCAGCATGACAGAGCTGTGGGCTTTAGCCTGAGATGTGAATACTGGGAATAAGGGACTGAAATATTTGCACATTGTTCCAAGTTTCTCTTTCCTGGCCCCAGTTCCATTGCACATATCTACGGATGGGGAGACTGAATGACTTTTGCACAATGTGGTGTTTTATTTGCATGCTGTGAGCAGTTTAACAAGTGTGTGTGTGCTAAATGAAGCATTCCCACTTTCAGTGAGCAGCTGACGCACCCTTAAAATAAAATAAAAAAATTTAAAAAGTGCCTTTAGGTTGAACAGTGGGGTTTTGAGGGGTGACATTGTGCTGTGTGCTCAAGTGGATGGTGGGTCATGCCAAGCCTGAATGTTAACTAGGAATGCTGTGAGATGCAGCAAGTAACCAACTCACACTCCTTGGTGCTAAAGTAGTTTTTGCTCATCTCTGAACTTTGTGGGATAAAAGCTGTTACAGTGCAAGATTTGGAAGGAATGTAATTGTTTGAAATGCTCAGTGTCACAGGAATTGAGGATATTTAACAGAAACTGGCATTTCTTGTGGCAGTTTGGTTGCCTCCCAGGACAGGAAACTGTGGAGTGTTAAAAAAAAAAATCAGGGAAGAAGTTTAACACCCCTCTCTGTAAATCACAGTGCTTGAATTCAGATCCTGGCCTTGAGCTGAAAGGACTGGAAGCTCTGCAAGACCCAGTGATTCGAGCTGCTCTGCAGAGAACAAGAAGATAATGGTGATGGACTATCAAGAAGGCAGCCTCGCTGAAAAGAGAGGCTTTGTGATACAGTCAGGGGAAGGAAGTCTGGAGAAGTCAGAAAAGGAACAGATGTATTTGGTGGTGGGGAAAAACTTAACTATCCCTGTAGTTTGCTCTTGCAGCGGAGCCAGCTGGAGGAACTTGATACCAAACAAAAGTAGGCACACCCAGGATTTAGCAGAGGGGTCCTGGAAAGCTGAAAATCAGTGCTTTGGTGCTTTTCTCTTGACAAATACCTTCATACAATGGCATCTGGCAGATATATTTTATATGTGTGTGCAAAGGTGTGTGTAAAACAGCTTGAAGGTGTTTGATGCTTCTCTTTAATAACAATAAAAGAAGTATTGATATATGAAGTGATACTCAAAATGGGGAGCCAAGAGAGATGCCGTTCCCTGGGAAGGAAATAATGATAGAAGATGCATTAAAAAAAAGGGTGAGGTTTTTTTCTAGGGTGTGTTTATGGATGGTGATGACTTGAAGTGTGATAAAACAGATTGCTGATCCTGTGTATCAAAGTACCAGTGGCAATGATTTTTCAAGCTGTTGAAACCTGCATCCACAAAAAAAATATATCTGTTTTGTTCTTCCTAATAGGTTAATCCACTGTAATTGGCTGTGAAATCAACCTGGGGGAATTTTCCCATCTGTAAGTGATGCACAGCCTCCTTGCTGTCTACTTGGCAACTGTACCTTCAGATAATTAAAAGCTGTTTTTTAAAATCCACTTTTCTTTCAACTCTTGTTTTTCTGCATCTTGCTACTTCTCTGAGAGCTGTCAGTCACCCTTCTGGCCAAGGTGTAAAATGAAGATAATGTGCTTTTAGGAAAGGAAAACTGCAGATGATCTTTATACTTCAATTTTTTTAAAAAAGCATAAAAACTACAAAACTAGGTGACTATGAGGAGTTTTTTAGCATGCATGTCACTGCTGCATTTCTGAAAGTAATGAAACTTTCCCAGTCCAGTATGGAAAACTTTGACTTTCAGAGCTCTGGTGCCACTTGCCCCTCTCAAATCAATAACCAAGCCTCCATGGTTTGCTTAGGAAGCAGTTCCAGTTACCCAGAAATTACAGGAGTTGTTCAGCACAGGGATCCTCTGGTTTCAGCACATACTTTCATTGCTGTGTAGTGTTTTGAGAGGCCGAAGGGTGGGATGCAGCTCCAGCGAATTTCCAGATTTCTAGCAGTGTGAGGGACTGTTTTTAATAGTGATGATAAAAACAGCTATTCCCAGTTGGAGGTTTAGTCAGTGGTATAATTATCAGAGCTATGAAATAGTGCAGGGATGGCTTGGGATGGAAAAAACTAAGGCTTGAAACTTATTTTCTTGAGGGAGCTGTTTGAAATTATTTTCTGCAAGCTCATAGAGAATTGGTGAGAGATGTCAGATGGTGATGGCTCAAGATTGGTGATTGCTTTGGTAATTCAGTGTTTGGGCTGGCAAGCTGCAGCTGGCTTTTGGGAGAGAATTAGTTGTTGAAAGCCAGGGTGGGGGAGTGGGAGCTCTGGAGTGGCATATTTGGTTTGTAAAGTGCTGAGGATTTCCACAGCAGGGTCACAATCCCCAGCTCCAAAGCTGGCTCACTTAAACCATCCCTTCTGAACCACAGTTGTGAGCGCCTCATTTTCTGCTTCACTTCTTAGTGATTTGGTGGTGGTTATTCATATTTTCTCCATTTTGTCCAAGAGGGGGAAACTCTGAGAATAAAATACTGTTTGTGCTGGAGGAAGCACTGGGAATATTGTGTTAGAGAGCAATGCAGGTATTTTTTTTCCTTTTCTGTCTTGATTATAAAGCTATTTTTTGAACCTGCTAGAGCGGGTCTAGAGGAAACCACAAAGATGCTCTGAGGGGGGACAGTTTTAAAGTAGAAGGGGAGAGATTTAGATTAGATATTGGGAAGAAATTCTTTCTTGTGAGAGTGAGGAGGCCCTGGTTCAGGTTGCCCAGAGAAGCTGTGGCTGTCCCATCTCTGGAAGTGTCCAAGGTCAGGTTGGACAGGGAGCAGCTTGGGATAGTGGAAGGTGTCCCTGCCCATGGCAGGGCATTAGAACAAGGTGATCATGAAGGTCCTTTCCAACCCAAATTGTTCTAGGATTTTGTTTGCTGTGGTTTTTCATAAAAAAAGTTTAAAGTCTTGGAAAACAAACCCAAATCTGATTTTTTTAGTGGATTTCAGAAAAATTCATACATCCAAAATGGTTATTAACACGGAAAGAAGCACACCAGGATTGTTTCTGGTGTCCTCTTATAGGTCAGTGCCACTGAATTTTGAAGAGGAAATGTAAAAAGGGAAAGGCAGAAGCAGAAAGCAGAAGCTGTCACAGTTCATAAGCGTGCAGAAGTTGTCCTTTACTGAAATTTCAGTGCTATTTTGGGGCTTTTCTTTTTTCCTTAAGAACGAATACAGTGGAATTTGTGCTATGCTTAGGATTGCTGAAATTTTAATTGTGTCAGTTGCTAGGTGTATTGACTACAAAGCTCTGAAAATATCAAACTATTTTTTACTTCAATAATTCTTGAGTTATTAATGGGGAAAAATATCTTTTTAAAAATAGCTAAAAAAAGATTAAAGATCTGTGGAGTTGGTAGGTTTCCAGATTAGTTTAGATTTTAAACAGTCCTTTGAAACAGTCATGCAATAAGATACTGTATTTAATGTTGGTCTCTATTGCAGTTTAGTTTTTTCAGAGTTTATCTGAAGCTGAGTTGGTTCAACAGATGTTTTATGTATAACATTCTCTTGAGAATTTCTATAAACCCAGGTGATAGTTTGTCTGGGAAGGATTTGTAGTGTGTCCTCTTGGCTGCCTTCTGTCTTCATCTTGAGCCCTATGGCTGTAACGTGTCA